TCTCCTGCCTGCAGAAAAAGAAATGCGACGAATCCCGCCCGCAGTGCTCTCGATGCGCCGAGCGCGGTCAGGAATGCTCCTACGAACCAGTCAAGCCTCGACAACGCAAGAAGCGTGATTCGATTGCCGGTTTCGGTTCCGACACAGCATCTCTCACGAGCGGAAGCGCCCTCATTCGACGATATTCAGCACCCGATGCTACCATTAGACGCTGGAAAGAGGAGGCGCTGGACGACGAAGACGATGGAGCGGCGGAGGAAGCCATTCTAGAGGAACCGGAAGACAGTGCCGACCCGCTGGCCTACGACTTCAAGAAGATGTTTGGTCTGCATCAGGACAAGGACGACGCTCCGTTGATCTCTCCGGTGGATTCTGTCGCTTTCAATCTTTCGCTGGATGATGCAGACGAGGAAATTGTTAGCCGTCGCTCTGTGCAACAGGATGCAATTCAAAATCTCGCAGTCACACGGGCTCAGCGCCACCCGGACCTGGCCATGATAGCGCCTGTCCCGGTGGCCTCGCCGCGTCTCGAGTTTTTGTTCCCGACGTTCTCCGAGTTCTCGGAACGGCCAAACCGTCGGGCGTTGGTTGACCACTTTACCAACGTCATGTCACACCTCATAGTGCTACGAGAGACAGAAGCCGGGAACCCGTTCCAGCAACTTGTGCTGCCGCTGTGCCACAGGAGCAAGACCGTCACAAACGCTATCTATGCGCTCGCGAGTGCACATTTGGAAAACAGAGGCTGCGGTCACACAGAAGAAAAGGCGGTCTATTTCCACAACCAGGCCATCCAAGGCCTGGCTCGGCTGATTGAACTAGGCGGGGAAGCAAACAAAAATGAGCTTTTGGCCACGATCATGTTGCTCGTCTATTACGAAGTAGTAAGTTTTCTTGTTTCCAACGTCTTCAACGCACTCTCAACTAACCGATCGATAGCTTGTGCAACAAGGCCGGTCCAATATCGTTGATGGCCATCTGAAAGGTGCCATTGCAATTATGAGCGGCAGCAGTGACAATACGGACCCGACCACCGCTTTTCTCGAACGCGTAAGTTTCGTCTATCCCGGCCTGTGTAAGTACCATTTGGCTGACCATTACGTCAGGCATTCCGTTTCTACGACGTTATTGCTGCTCTTTCTTTTGGCACAGCTCCCCTTTCCACCGCACCAGCGACAGGTTGCCTCATCCCCTTTCCACCGGTTGACTCTCCTACCACATCACCTCTCAACTCTGTCGATACACTACTTGGCTTCTCTACAACCCTCTGGCCCATCATTCACCGCCTTTCGAACCTCCTCGCTCTCAAGACTGAGCTCCAGACAGCCATCACCAACGGTCAGCTCACAAAGGTCGCTGTCCTGCGCTCCGAATTCGAGACCACTTCGGACGCAATTGAGCACGCACTCAAGCAATGGCAGCCCAGCTTTCCGCCAGGTTTCTCACCAGACACAATGGACGATCTGAGCTCAGATGAGCCTGATGCTGTTTCTGAGCGCGCACGCCTGCACTCGATTCTCAATAATGCCCTCGCTTACCGCCACTCTGCGTTTGTCTATCTTTACCGCAGCATTTACGGATACCCGAGGCGGCACCATCTTGTGCAACATCATACACATGCGGCACTAAGCCATTGCGCCGCAACAGTCAATCACGCCGGACCCATGGCGGCTCTTTTGTGGCCGCTGTTTGTGGCAGCATGCGAAGCCATAAGCCCGAGCGACCGACAACTAGCCCGACAGGCTTTTGTGGCCGTTGAACGCAGGCAGGGCATGACGAACATTCAGCGCGCGTGGACGATCGCACAAGAGGTTTGGAGGCGAGCAGACATGATTGACGATCATGCCGCGTACGAAGATCATGCCATTGGAATGTCCACACCTGGCCAACGGCTCGGCAAAGGAGCTGACTTGTGGAGACGAGTCAGCGAGGACATGGGCGTCACGATTGTATTTGGGTGAAGGGACACGAATCGTCGTCTCTTTGGATGCGTGCTTGTGCATCACCGCCCACCGTATATAGTAAGGAGTCATCGATGAGATTGAACGTAATGAGCAAAGACAGGCATACCAGGGAGGTGTGGTTTACATAAAAAAAAATTCTACGGGGGCGGGGGGTCAACGGTAACATGACGGTGGTTTCGGCGCTACCGGGTCTTTTGAAGTTGTACATGAGGAAGCAGTATTCCAAAGGGTGCCAACCGGAGCGGCATGTGTGTTTGCGGGATGAGGAGTTTATCTGAGTTTTACGATATCATCAACTTGTGGTAGGCGTTAGTTACTTCAAGTTTCTCTTCATCGTCTGACCTATCTTGCATGAGGCAACTTTTGACCGTGAATAGCATGGCTTTCTGTCCTAGATTAAGGGCAGCTGAGGGCCTAAGTGAAGGGTTTACCGCCCAGTCTCCGATCCCCAATAGGTAGTGCCGTCACTGGTGGCACCAGCCGGCGCGGGCTTCCCGTGGTTCCCGAGGGCGCAAGTGGGCTGACGCGTGCCTCGGGGATCTGGGGTAAAGCGGGTCATTTTTGATATGCCCTTGTGGGCAAGGAGGGTAGGGGAGGAGAGGGGAGGGGAAACCGGCATGATTCTGAGTAAGCCTGGCTGGATATTTCATGGAGGTGAGACAAATCGCCCGGAATTTCACTTTCTTATGCATGGTCAGGTGAGAATACTACACCAAGGGTTCTTGATGTTTGTTGAAAGGGGTTGGATGGATGAGCGAGGCTGGTGAGGTTTTGAGAGGGTACAGTATGGCAGGTGGGTGATGAGCAACATGGCTCTGTGAGCGCGTTTGGGTACCGGTAGCATGGGCTTGGCGAGAGAAGAGGTCGTGAGGGAGTTCTTCAAACATGAGGAGAGGATTCTGAGATGTGATTTAAGCAAGTGCCGACGCATTGGATACTTTCAGGGTGAGGGGGGGGGGGGGGGGGAAGTCTCCAAACTCGCGGTGGAAGTAACTGCCTGAAGCGATACGTTCCGACATGAAGTCTCTCTCTCTCTCTCTCGGCTCTTGCTCCTAGTAGTCACGAATCAATCTCCTCACCGATACCTATGCCCGGCTTGTGCAAGCGGTGAGACTCGGTGGACGGCAGTTTGAGAGAGGACAGAGTTTGGATGATGGCACGTGTATGTGTGTGGGTGGCCATTTTGGTCAGTTATCAGCTTTAGTATTGAAGCCTGAGTTGGTAATCTTTCGGACCAAATCGCACGAGGCTATGCTCAAGGTACACGAGATTCCCTGAATGAATTTCGAGTGATGGGTGTTCACTGGACTTGGTCCGTGTCTTGTCGAGATTGCTCGGCCCATGGCAATGTGCTCACTTATACCTTTTCTGCCCAGTAGCCGCGCTTCTTCGGAGGTAGCAACCCCCTCGCCTTTTACCAAGCAAGAATGCAAGATGCATTACAGACTAAATGGATGCAAAACGGACCCGAAGACGCGGAGACTGGTTGAGGTGATTGATGATCATCTCATGCGGATGCCGACTTGACGGATGACGGACCCAGTTTTTCGTGCTTTCCATTGCTTCGGAACTGCTGTGTGCGGGAAGGTGCAGTTGTCTGGGGTCACAATACAATGTGATGAGGCAGGAACCTTCCATTTTCATTCTTGGAGAGCTCTTTCCTCCTGGATTGAATACTTAGTAACTTAGTACAATAAGTTAGGAAGGAGCATAGGTAGATACCTTAGAATGGGATGAGATGGAATTCTCCCATGATCAAGTGCCTTATTAACTACCTACAATATGCATCAGATGGAAGCATTAATTGAATCGTTTCCCTCCGCTTTTCTCCCCCGACCCGACAGGACCCTGGTCCAGACTGCATCCTGCGTCTCCCACCATCCATCCATCTCACCTTGCCCCCGATCCCTTTTCCCCGTCTTCCCCGAACACCAACAGTCCATCGTCCAGTCGTCCGCCAGTCCAGTCCACCGCACGATCGCTCTCCCGACATCCCGTCCAAAGAACGACGAACCATAACCACACAACCTGTCCTGCGCCGCCCTCCGATGCCAATCTAAGACAAGACGAGACAAGTTCCAACGACGCCGAGCGTCCATGCCTACGCCTACCTACCTTACGCCATACTCCCACTTCGAACTCCGTACGCATCAACATCATCGTCGCCTGCGCCTCTCCCGACCGCCTTCATCCCCTAGTGCCCCCAGCATCCCCCCTCCCCTCATTCTTCCTCGCTCGTCTTCGTCACCCCCTTCCTCGGTTGCCTTCGCTCCTCATCTGCCGCATTGCCCAGTCACCATTTACCACCACTCACCAAGCCAGCCCGTCCAAGGTTGCTGATCTTTTTCTGCCCATCTACTTTCTTTCCCCCTCCCATCCCATCCTATCCCATCATCTCATCCCCCCTTTGTTGGTGGTGTAATTAGTGCAGGTAACCCGTCCGTTGCCACCTCTCACTACTTTCTTTTTATCCCCCTCCTCGGGACGGGATGAAACGGCCATGTTTCTACGTTGCACGACTACAGCCCTCAAGACATCTCCATTTCTTCCATGAGACTTCCCGCCGCCATGTCCCACCTCCATCCAACACACATTTGACTTCCGTCGCCCGATCCCTCAGCTGAAGCTTGAGCCCTACCCGCCTGGATCTGGAGCTACAGCACCGCGTCTCCACCAGAACCCCTTTACATCCTGCACAACCCAAGCTTCCCCCAAGGCACGCCGCACCTATCGAATACCTAGCACTCTGCCCCGGAAGCTACACCCCGGTTTAAGCAACCCGCTACAACTCTCGTCGCCCCTCAGAGCCGGGAGATACCTGCCATCTCCACCCAGGCCTGACCTGACTTGGAGGCCCAACGTGGATCACTCTCCGCTGTTCTGCTGCTGCTGCTGCGCCCGCTGCTGTTCTGTCGCTACGCAGTAAAGTCTTCTATCGCTGGTCTGGTCCCCTCTGACCCTTTCAGTCACTCTCCGCCCACTGCAGCGCAGCATCATGCTGCGTCGCTATTGAGAGGTTCCTTCACCTTGCGCGCCATGACCTCCATCGTCAACGGAGCGACCCCCGCGCCCAAGCAGATCCGCTTCGTCACAAACCAAGGCCATCCGCCATCCAAAAGACGCAGGATCAACGCCGCGTGAGTTTTCTGCTTTGCTGCCTTTCTGCTGGTCGTTGCTGTAGTGCTGCTGCTTTGCTACACAGCTGCTGCATGTCCGCCCATGAACCGATTCTTGCATGCAGGAGCTAACGTGACTCGGCCCTCGACAGATGCCTGACCTGTCGCAAACGAAAGACGAGATGCGCCGGCGAGCGCCCCAGCTGCTCAACTTGCGCCAAGAACGGACACACTTGCTTGGGTTATAATGAAGTGATTGAGAAGAAATCTTCAAGTGGCGCCATCGCCACCCGAGATCCCCACCATGACGAGGACGACGACGTAGAGGAAGACGAGGACGAAGACGAACACATCCGGGAAGAAGAAGGAGGAGGAGGAGGGAATCCCGACAAGAGGAAATACGGAAAGAACACAGCTACTGGCCGACGCCTCTCTGGACTCAAATCAGAAGGCGAACAACCGCCCAAGACCGTTGTCGAAACCAATGCTGGCCACTCGCCGACCTTTTTGCGGCGTTCGTCAGAACATAGCTCTCGTGACCAAGACCAGAGCTCTGGACCTCGACGACCCTCACATCCTCGCGCAACATCCTTCTCCGACGATGCACGCAGTACGCAGAGTCGCTCTCCCGTGTCGCACCATACAGATCGCCACAGGGTGCCCTACTTTCGCTACTTTGGCCCGACGGCCATCGTTCCCGGCTACAAGCAGATGGTGGTGTCTGTACGGGACCGCAGGCGAAGCACTGGCGGGTCTGCTGGTGCTACATCTCCAAGCTCCGGTTCAAGTGTGGTCCAGTCCATGGGAATGGCTCTGTCAGGCATACCTCAGCATGAAGAGGTCGCTGTTGCCGACGAGGACCTACCAGTCTACGACCCCAACGATCCTGCGCCAGTCCATCCCCTGGTCCTGCATCTAGTCAAAACATTCTTCTTGCATTTGGGCTGCAACTATCCCTTCTTGAAGGAGGATAACTTCATCCGTATGGTCAAGGAGAAGCGCGTCGAGCCAATTCTTGTCGATGCTGTTTGTGCGTTGGCCGCACGTTTTTCCGACTCGCCACAGCTCGGGCATAGTAAAGACGAAGAGGCGTCTCATGCTGAGCAAGGCCAGTTCTACGCCCACAGAGCAAAGGCTGCCACCGTTGACACTTTCCCCTGTCCGTCTGTAGGCGCTGTTCAGGCGCTTTTGATGATGGCGTACGAAGGTTTTGGGGCAGACCAAGACAGTGCTTTGTGGATGTATTTGGGTCTGGCCATTCGCATGGCCGTTGACCTGGGCCTGCAGAAGATGGTCGGCGTGATATATCAAGGTGAAAGAGACCCTTGGTACACTCGCCACGGAGACCAAGCGAGCAGTGATGCGGGAGCAACCGACGGTCCACAAGAGGACGACAACGGTCTCACCCGCGAAGAGCAGCTCGAGGTTGAGCAAGAACGTACCGATACGTTCTGGGCTGTCTTTGTTCTTGACAGAGTAATATCTTCTGGAACAGGCAGGCCTGTGACAATTCGTGATGACGACTTCGAATTGGCTCTGCCGGTATCAACTCTCGACCCGGCATCGGGCTGGCCGGCCCCCTTTCCCGTCTTCATCCAGATCATCCATCTTTACGGCCGTGTATCCGACGTTCTAAATAACATTCGCAACGCAAATGACCTGACATCAGAGAAGTGGGCAAAGCTTTCGCGGATGGAGCATGAGTTAACGAAGCTCTACCAAAAGCAAGATCCCCGGCTACACTTCAGCGTCTCTAACTTCAAGACGTACTTGAAGTTGGGGCAGGGCACGAACTTCATCCTTCTTCACTTCTGGTTTCATGCGCTCATCATTATATTGCACCAACCTACTCTACTCACCCCTTTTGGCTCGTTGAGGAGCACACATCAGCTTCTACCTAATAGTCGCGAGCTTTCCATGTCTAGCGCCAAGACGATTGCCGATATTCTCGCCTTTGCAGAACTCATCGACCCCAAGAGCTTCATAGGAAACCCGTTCACATCCCAGCCCATGTACATTGCTGCATGCGCTTTCCTAATGGAGTCTATTGCGAACGCGTCGAACCCCACGTCGAGAGAAACATCTCCGCCAAACGAGCCCAAGATGGAGGGTCAGAGACAAAAGTCATCCTCGCATGAGCAAAGAATGTCTACCAAGCACTCTCTCCTAGCGTCGGCTGCCAACCAGAATTACTCTCGTTGCTACAAGAGCCTCCAGCAATTGCATAAGTATTGGGGCGGAGTCAAATACATCCTGACAGCGCTCGACCAGAAGTCCAAGGGCATATGGGACTGTGAGACGTACACCAACGAGGAGTACGAGAGCGCCCGACTGCCTCGCCGAGGCTCAATTGGCGGGCGTTTCCCACATCCATCGACGCCCAATATGCCGCCAATCGCCTGGTCCCTTACGGGCACGACAAACTCGCCAAACTCGAGCCTTACGCTCATGTACCAGAACATGCATGCTAGTCAGTCTGGCCATCACGGCACCATGCAACCTCAACAATCCAACATTCCCACATCTGCGCCTACACCCCCTGGGAACATGATATATGACCCAATCCGTCAGAGCTTGCCCGAGGCGGCTCCCCAATCCATCTTTGCTACTGCATATCCTCAACCACTTATTTCTGCCATGCGACAAACGTCACGTTCTCACCATACGCAGCGCTTGTCGACATCATCTATGAGCCCAACTAATCAAGGAAGAGGCCATTTGCAGTTTGAGGGCATCCATGAAGAGCAAACTTCACCTCCAGCACGCCACGCCGGGCCAATGTTGGCTGCCACTTCACACCCTCAGCAACCGACGTCTTTCACACCTTCGTCACACAACTCTGCAGGATATGACCACTCCATGATGCCATCGGTCTCGCCATCTGGCAATATGCACGATGCGGTATCGCAACAGCATCATAACGGGCAGCATATTGCTTTCGATCCTACATACGCCAACGCGACATACTCCTATCTCGGGCAAGGCATGGGTCCCATCACAGATGTCATCACCTTTGAGAACCCGATTGATATCGGAGCGTTGGGGTTGCCAAACGAGATGATGCCACCATGGTTGGAATATCTGCCTGGGGATGTGTTGGGTCTATTTGAAAACAACAATATGGATCCAGGCTCATAAGTTACTCACTATCTTGTCGATATAACCGGAATCACCATCATCTGCGATCATGTTGCGCCTTATTGTCGTTCCACAGAACTGGACTGTCATTTTACATATATATACCCTCAGAAGTACGATCAATCGGCATACTACGAGCCGGGGCTTGCTTGGGCAACGAAAATCTAGGGGTTGGAATGGAAACGAAAAAGATTATGGGCGGACTGTGTTTTGCGCTATGGCAAATTATTTGATGATAACGGTCTGAGATTTGGTGCAGCCTTTTGGCCGCGTAGTGTTCAGCGTTGTTGATATGCATTATTTGGCGCTGTATTATTTATTCCCAGTTTGTATTCTTAATGAAGGCGGAAATTTTCAGCGCTTGTTTCTTCCCAACATCGTGGTTGGAACACAGTTGGGATTGGGAAATCAACATTCATCATATCAATAAAGGGAATTGTCTACAATGTAGCTCAATTGCCTTGATGTACGTCTTGAGCTGACTTCCATTCTAGTTCAGGAAGCCTCACGTTTGTCGGTAGTCGGTAGTTCACCCGGGGGCATCGGAGCAGCGGAGTCGGAAGATGCTTGGCGGCTGGGTGTAGCCGGAGAGCTTCCCGAGCTTACCTCATCCGCTGAAAGAGCGGGCGGGAAGATGGCGAATTTGAGTCATGATGGAGGGCGACTCTGACGCAGGTGTCGAATCTACACCACGGCGGGCATCGCAACGATGTTTCAGGGACGTAAGATGTACGGAACAGAACTTGGGCTCTGGTGGCCTCGATGTGCGCCGCGAAGAGAGCCGTGGATGGAATTGCTAATGCCCAGGAACACCAAGGTTAAGGATTAGGTAATTATCACAGATTCCAACGGCGATAGCTACGCAGTCGTGGCAGTCAGGCAGCGGGAGGTATCCGTATCTCTAGATGGCCATCCCGGACAGCTCTGACGACACTGACGGGCAAACACATGGGTCAATGGAGGGCGCTAAGTGGACGGGTGGATCCCTTTTGGTTTTTTGCGTGCTGCGTTGGAAGGAAACGAAAGAGAAAAAAACTTGAACTGCGACGATGGAATGCATAGCAAGGCGTGCCAGGACTGGATGTTGCGGGAGGACCGCCCCGGCTAAACCTTGGCCGACCAGCGATTGTCCACGCAAAGATTTTTCCGAGAGACCGAGCAAGAGCTCACCCCGGTCGGGTCCAGTCTGATAGCAGATACGTACCGCTCGAGCAGTGCGCAATCGCGGGTACCCGAGTAATCCCGAGCCAATCTTTTCCGCTGCAAAGGACAAGTTCCCAATTGCGCCTGTCTCGGTCCTAGGTCGCTCCTTCCCCCAGCCGCGGCGCCGCTAAAAAAAGGCCTCACAATTTTTCCCCGGCCACCCTACCTACCTTACTTCCCGTCCCTCGACAACAACAAAAAAGTTTCTCCCTTTTTAACCATCCATCCTCCATCCCCTTGAACTTCACGATCCCTTTGCGCGGCTCTTCGTGACAAGTCCCTCCCCACTCAGCCTTTTGTATTTTTTCTCCGGTTCGATTCACACATCACATCCACAATGGCCTCTTCTGTTCCCTCCACCGGCTCGGCCAAGGTCGACGCCGTCGTCGAGAAGGCTGCTGCCGCCGCCCCTGGCCAGCTCTCCGGCCTTGCCCTCTACTCCAGATTCGCCCTTGCCGGTGCCGTCTGCTGCTCCGTCACACACGGTGCCCTCACTCCCGTCGATGTGTAGGTGCTTTCCCTCTGCCGAATTCCTGAGTTAGGAAGAATCTTTTCCCTGGCCGGTGCGCGCGTGTCCTTTCACAAGCCAAATGGCGGACAGTGGAAGAGAAAAGCCGCAATTCACCAGCGAAGCTCTCTGCTCAATCGCGGCGGACGACAACGACATACCGTAATGGTATCGATCCCATTGGCACAATTGGCTAACATGGCATAAACAGCGTCAAGACCAGAATCCAGCTTGACCCCGCCACCTACAACCGCGGCATGATTGGCGGCTTCAAGCAGGTCATCCAGAACGAGGGTGCCGGCGCTCTTCTCACTGGCTTCGGACCTACCGCTGCCGGGTACTTCCTCCAGGGCTCCCTGAAGTTCGGTGGATACGAGTTCTTCAAGCAGCAGTCCATCAACTTGATCGGCTACGAGAACGCCGTCAACAACCGCACTGCTGTCTACCTCGCCTCCTCCGCTGCCGCCGAGTTCTTCGCCGACATTGCCCTGTGCCCCCTTGAGGCCACCCGTATCCGTCTCGTCTCCGAGCCCACCTACGCCAACGGTCTCATCGGTGGCTTCAGCAAGATGCTCAAGAACGAGGGTGTCGGTGCCTTCTACGCCGGTTTCGGACCCATTCTGTTCAAGCAGTAAGTGCAATATCTTTGCGTCAATATATCATTGGCGCGCGCGATGCGGCGTGACACGTAATCAAGGAGAACAACACAAGCTGACACTACCTTTTCAGGATCCCCTACACCATGTCCAAGTTCGTTGTCTTCGAGAAGGTCTCCGAGGCCATCTTCCGCCAGTACCCCAAGAACACCCTCTCCGACGGTGCCCAGACCGCCGTCAACCTCGGCTCCGGTCTCATGGCTGGTTTCGCCGCCGCCATCGTCTCCCAGCCCGCCGACACCATGCTCTCCAAGATCAACAAGACCAAGGGTCTCCCCGGTGAAGGCACCACCTCCCGCCTCATCAAGATCGCCAAGGAGCTCGGCATCCGCGGCTCCTACACCGGTATCGGTGCCCGTCTCTTCATGGTCGGTACCCTTACTGCCGGTCAGTTCGCCATCTACGGCGACCTCAAGAAGGCCCTCGGTGCCACCGGCGGTGTTGAGATCTCCAAATAAACAACGACTTGACGAACCGGGAAGACGAGGCGAGAAGATGATTGGCGAAGAAGACGAAGAAGCATGGTGTTGGTTTCTGGATGAGGACAGAGATGTCTCCTCCGTCCCCTCTTCATCACCCTGGATCCAGGATTGTATAACTCCAGGAATGAACCTAAACGGCGGGGAACCACATTTTTATGATATCCTCTCACAGCAGCAAGCAGCATTGCTGGCCCCCCTCCTCCACTAGATGGGGGCTGCATTTCTTCTCTGCATTAGAAATTTTTTCTTTAACGAACATCGGCCTGGGTAAACTTCTTGTTTCATCTGTTCAGCAAGACTCCTTGGAGGGCATGGGGACTTGGGTAATCTTTTCAGGAAAACTGCCTATCATAGAAGCATAGAGCATGATAGACGAAAAGATGGCTGGCCTGCCGGAGGGTTGTATAATAGTCGCTTTGTAGTTTGCAATCATAGACCGGGAGTTTGGACCTCTCAGTTGCTTCCAACTGTCGTGAAAGCGAATGTTTATGTGTGATTTGTTTATGGGTGTTGTCTGTATACTGGGAGGATAAGCTGCTCAGCAATGTGCCTGACAATAAACGCAAGCCACTGACGAAATCACAACATGACATTTCTCATCAGCAAAGCGGGATCGAGCCTAAGTTGTCACGATCATCAGAGCACTTCATTTCTAAAAATTCACTAGTTTGTCCGTAGAGAGAGGACGGCACGACGGATAGTTGGATTGACTTTTGTGCCCGTCAAAGCGGCCCGGCAACTGGGCCATGCCGCCATGCCACCACAAATGGGATGGGCACTTGGACTGTAGGCTGTAGTACGGAGTCAAGTGGACCACGGATAGGATGGGAAGACCGGATGGGATCATCCGGGTGGCTAAGACGGTACCCAGACCGGTCACCGACATTTTGACCCCCTGGAGACAGGAGCTATCAAAATGGAGAGGGAGGAGGGTCTTGGATTCCTGTTGATGGTGCAACTATCTCTTTATCGGCTTCACTAGATGACGTCAAATCAGCTGTGCGAGAGGGCAGGTATATGTTTTTTTGCGTATATGTTTCGGAGTCGAGTGGAAGGGAACTTTACGTGGGCAAGAGAGCGTGTAAACCCTTTTATTTCAGGCTCCTTGACAATAGCAACACAGATGGATTATGAAAGTACAGATTACATCCTGCACAGAAAGGTCATGACACTGCAGATTCGTACTCCGCACATGAGTATCCTCCCCCAACCATCCGGATTCAAGACTGAACATGGAGGCAAAGAACTCAATTGGGCGAAAAGAAGGGCATCAAAAAAATGGCATGGTTGGGCGCAGGAAAAGATTTGCGGGTCACATTTCCACCCCCACTCCGTCACCAGTGACCGTCCACCACCCACCAGACACCCCCCGTGTTTCGACCCGGCAACCAAAGTAAACAAAACAGATGAGCAGCAGCACAGCTCACGCAACCCCAGTCGATGCGCCAGCCACTCCCGTCACTTGTCAATGCAAAGGCAAATGCAGGATGCATCCTGGGGCCTATCCCGACCCTTTAGACTGAACGCGCCTCGCCTCACTCTCACCGCAGCTCTTTTTTTTCGTGAATGCCCAACCGGCGCCAAAAGACGAGAGGAAGAAAACCCACTTGCCATAGTTTGACCAACCACCGGGAGACAACGAAGCATCACATATTAGCCGAACACCTCTCTCTACCTCTGTCTATCTGTCTGTGTTTCTGTCTGATTGTCCAGAACAAGTTCAAAGTCAACATTGGAAAGTCTCTCTCCAAACCAAGGTCCCACCTTGATTTTACGCAGTACCTGTTCGAACAGAGCACCACATTTCCACCAAACCATCCCAAACGAACCACCTTCAAAACCGGTTGCTCCCTCGACCCGTCCCGGACCGGGGGTCATAAACAGACTGGAATTATAGGGTACCACCCCCACACGCAGCTTCCTCACGTTTCTCGAGACGACTTGTGTCTCTCTTTCTCGTCTCTAAAGAGAAAGGAGGATTATCCCAACCCGCATTCACCGCATTCCTCAAGCCCGCTTTTTTATCCAGCTTACTACTGCTTCCCGTCCCGTTCTACCTTAACGACTGGAACGAACTGGGGATCTCACAAGTTGTCTGTCTGTCTGTCTGTCGACTACTGACAGATGCTACGATCCGGGCCGAAACCCGAGGATCTCGACTTTGAGATCCATGTTGATCAGTCTTGCTTGAACACACCCGCGCACGAAGCTGCCGAGTCCGAAGTTATGGACGACGACGTCCCCGCTGCTGTCAAGGCCGAGGAGGTGAAGACGGTGGAGGATACGCTGGAAGATACACCAGAGGATGTCAGGGACGAGACTCCCGAAGTCGTCGAGGAGTCAAAGACTGAGTCGGAAGATGTGAAGGAAGACGACAAGGAAGAAGACACAACGACAGCTGAGGCAACTGCAACAGACGCTGTTGTGGAGGCTGATACTGAGGACACTCCTGAGAAGGAAGCCGAGACGACAGTTGAGGAGACGAAGTCTGCTGCAGACGAGGTCTCTGAAGAACCCGAAGCCAACGTGGAAGACACAGAACCTGCCTCGGAAGAAACACATACCACTGAAGAGGATAAGCCGGAAGCAACGACCGCGGAAGAAGGCGAAAACACGCCAGCAGATGAGGATTCGCCTGCGAATACCGAAACCAAAGATACACCTGAGGAAGAGCCTTCAAGTATAGAGGCTGAAGATAAGAAGGAAACCTCAGAAGATACTCCCCAACCAGCGGCTGAGGAGCAGACTGAGCTTGAGGAGTTGGTGGCTGAAGTAGAGGCGGAGCTTGAGGCCGAGCCTGAAGCTGCCGTTGAGACTGAGGAAGCTGCTGAAGAAACAACACCTCCGGCAGAACCTGAGCTCCAGCCCGAGGAAGACAGCAAGGAAGATACGGCCCCAACAGAGCCCGAGCTAGAGGCTACCGAGCCAGAAGCTAAGCCAGAGGTTCAGCTAGAGCCCGAACCCGAAGTAGAGGTCGAAGTCGAGGCCGAGAAAGAATCTACACCCGCCCTAGAGACAGAGCCTGAAGACGAAGAAGTCGAGAGGGGAAGGTCACTCGGCCCTGCGGCTGAAATCACAACTAGTCAACTGGCAGAGCAGGTCGCAGACTCACTCAACATGGCCCAGACAGACTCTGACGAGACCCCAACAACCGCCCCTACCATCGAAGTCGCCGACGAGGACCACGATGAGCCCGCCGCTGTCCAAGAAGCCAGCCGCTCCTCTTCGTCCCTCCGCCGTGTCTCCGGTCGTACCGATGCTCTCATTCAGGCTGCCGCCAAGGAGGTCCTCGAGCGACTCGAGGCTCAAACCATGGAGACTATTAGGAACAGGTCACATGCACGCCACGACTCCACAGGATCTACAAATAACGGCACAGAGCTACACTACGATGTGAGCACTCGCCGCGAATCCTACAACACCGACTCGCGTGCTAGCCGCCGTGAGTCGTACAACACGGAATCGCGGGCAAGTCGTCGTGAGTCTTACAATACACACTCACGAACCAGCCGCCGGGAAAGCGACGCCCACCGCCGACCCACGCATAACGAGGACGGCGGCGACAGTTCCTCCCAGCACGGCGACTCGGACGTCTTCAGCGACCGCAGCCCGCGTAGCTCACTCGGCTCTTTTGATGGCAACATCGACCACCACAAGGACACCAGCAACCGCTCCTCCAAGAGATTCTCCCACATGTCCGATGACGTCTCCGTGTCCGAGATGTCCTACTACGACAAGGAAGATTTCGTTCCAACCATTCGCGGCGCGCCGAGGATGCCCTTCCGTTCCCCCTCCGACGTTCGGGCTCTGCAATATTCATCCCCCGCGCCCTCCGTGACCGGGGGCTCCTACTCGCCGCGCTCTGGCAAACGCTCCCAGGTGCCGACCATCTCCCGCCTCGGCAGCCCCAACGTGTCCGCCCAATACTCTGCCAAGGGCCGCAAGACGCCTACCCGCTTCAACCCCAAGAAGGAGCCCGCCCCGCTCGTCCTCTTACACGTCACTCTCCTGCCACTCCGCTGGCAGTGGGCTGAGATTCTGGAGCAGACGTCCTCCGAGACCCTGTCCCCGGAAGCGAAGACGCTCCGCGAGGCGTGGCACCACCTCCACGACCGCGTCGCCGACACCGTCTGCGAGCGCGGCATTCTGCTCTCCCACCCGCAAGACGAATACGAGATCCTCGAAGAGCGGCTGTTGGAAGCCCTCGACCTGCCCCTCCGCCGACGGGCCCGCGTTCTCGAGTGCGGGCACTACCTCGGCCCGTCCAACGAGATGACGCTCGGCGAGGACATGGACAGCGACGAGGACGAGTACGACGAAGAGTCGAGGCGCAAGAGCGCGCTGCCCAAGATGCACTGGTGCCAGACGTGTCGCCACGAGATCCGCTACGAGTCCCTCGGCCCCGGCAAGATCTTCCGCATCAAGGTGTACGCTAGCAACGGCCTTATGAGGACCGGTGCGTGGGCTGCGTGCTGGAAGGAGATGGAGCGCGTTGATGTTGAAATTGAGCCCATTGTCGAGTCGGCTGTCCTGGATGAGCTGGAGCGTCTTGTTGTTGCGCAGTCGCAGCAGATGTCGCTTGTCAAGCACGATCCTACGATTCTTGAGTCTACTGAGGGGAGAGATATGCCTGAGGACCGCGGCATGTCGGACTTTGACCGCGATATGCCCTCCATGGAGGAACCTCTGCATGAGACGTCGCATATTGAGGAGACTCATCTCTTGGAGCCGAAGTACATTGAGAGCGAGGCTCATATTCCGGTTTCATCACCTCCCCCTGCTGCGGCAGAGGATACCCGGCCCCCATCTCCGGAGCCGATGCCCCGCTACGATCAAAGCGAGGAACGCCGTCTCCGCGACGAGGCGCGTATGCGTGAGATCTACGGACACCCTCCGGCTCCTGAATCAGAGCACCACGAGCCAGCTCCCGAATCTCGGCCGGCATCGTCGCACCACGACGCCTACTCGGCTCGCTCCCCTCCTCCACCTCAACAGCAACCTGAGCCTGAACCTCAACAACCTCATTACCACGAGCAACACCAGCACCACCAGTCCCCGCCCCCACCGGAGGAATCCTACGCCCAGCACCACCAGCGCCAACAAGCGTTCCAAAACGCCGGGCTCGCGGAGCTGCTCCTCGAGGCGGCACGGGTGTTTATGCAGGATAAGAAGAACCTCGCCATCGTGGTCATGAGTTTGCTTGTGCTCTTCATGGCCATTCGTCCTGCGCCGAGGGAGGTGAAGGATTGGGATGGGCAGTTTGTCGATCATGCTGCCGCGCCTGTGGTTGAGGTTCCTGCTTCGCAAGCGCAGGCTCCGGTGATGGAGAGCATTGAGGCTGTTGTGGAGTCTGTGACGGCGTCAGAGGCTTCGGTGGCGCTTGAGGTTATTCAGCCTACGCCTGAAGTTGAAGTTGCTGAGCCTAGTGTGGAGGTGTTCGTGTCTGAGTCTGTTGCGAGCGTTGAAGAGGTTGAGACTACGTCGACGTTGGCTACGGAGCAGACTTCTGTGACTGCTTCTCCTTCTTCTGAGGAGGAGGTGAGCGCTCCTTCGCCTACACCTGTTCATGAGACTATCACTACCAGAGAGTTGGTGCGTATCATTGAGACAGTGACGGAGACGGTCAAGGCTGTTGTTACGGAGACGGAGGTTGTCAGGGTTCAGCCTACGGCTAGTGTTGCGCCTGAGGTCGATGGGGTTGAGGCAAATGCGGACGTGGTCGAAGAAGTTCTGGCTGATGCTCTTCTGCCTCTGGATGACGCTTCTGAGACTCTGGTCTCCGAGGACGCCTCTGAGACGGAAGAGGCATCAGCTTTTGAGACTGTGTCGCCCGTCGAAGAGTTCACAGGAGATGCTGAGGTTGAGGAAGAAGCGCCGGCCACTGAGTCGACGTTGCCCGTCGCAGAGGACGCAGAACAAGACGTCACGGATGAGCAAGCAGAGGATGTGAATGACGAGACTGAGCAGATGGAGGAAACGGATGAGAATGAACGGGACGAGCTGTGAAAGAGATGAATGAGTTGGTATATGCAAGAAGAGACAAAGAGGAAATGTGAAACGAACGAGGTTAGGAAGGAGAGAAGATTCAAGAAGGAATGAAGCAAAGTGTTACGATATCACACCCACGTCTTTGTTTACGCCACGCACATACATGCATTGAATGAGCCTTCATACCGCCTAGCAAGCAAGCCAGCCAGTCTTTTAGCAGGGTATTCTGCGTTTAGTCTTTTCCAGAAGAGGAAGGGGTGGTATAGACGTGGGGTTTGGATGAGGCTGGATGTGGGGAGATTGTACATAGAGATGTAGTGAGAGTGAGGAGGCCAGCTTGTTAGAGCTGGTGATGAGAATTGGAGTTTGTCAATGTTTGCCAATCACTTCCTAAGTGCGAACTACCTTACTTATCCGTGGTGTGAATATCCAAATCATAGTAAAAAAAAGTCTCTTGTAACCCTCTTTTGCTTCATTTCCCACCAGAAATTCAGAGGTCGAAAATCATTCCCGGAGATGGCAAAGCGATAGCCAAGTCATTACTCTCTCCGTATGCCAGCCCCATGTCAAGCAGCGCCGAGATCTCGTCGTGCTCCTGAAGAACCTTTGCGACCCCCAAATGGGTCTCTGCTTTTGCGAGTTCAATTGCTCTGGAGAAGCCAGTCTCCGGATTCCCTTTGGCACCATTCTCGAGCAGAAGTTGAACCATGTCCAGGCGGCCGTGTTCAGCAGCTCCTTCGATCGCCGTCCTCCCATCCTCGGCTGCAGCAGGGGCGTTGATATCCGCTCCTCTCTCGAGCAGCATCTTGACAGTGCCGATATCACCGCTGATTGCTGCTCCCTGTAGTGCAGTGATGCCGCCTACTCTTGCAGGGGGCGCATTGATATCTGGGTCGAAGGAAAGCAGAAGCTGCAGCATGGCATGCCCACACTGTTCTTTGAAGTTACACGTCGCTGCCTGTAATGCAGTTCTGCCGTGTTCATCACCAGGGTTAGCGTTGATATCTGCCCTATGCTCTAGCAACAAGCGAGCAGCGTCAACTTCGTCCAAGTACGCAGCAAGTTGAAGCGGAGTCTTTGCGCCCTTTGAAGTTTCATGCTCAAGCTCATCATCAAACTTATCAATGTGCCTATCCACGTGCCACCTGGCTTCTGTTCGTGCGCCTAGTTCCAGTGCTGACTGCAGGCATTCGTAATGTAAGTTATATACCAAGTGGTGCAGTAAGCTACCGTCATCACCGTTTGGCCGGTTAACGGGCACCCCCATGGCCACCCAATTTCGGAAACGACTTAGTTTTGAAACTTGATCTCTTTGGTACTGCGGTGGCATGTGCAAAGCTCTGGCTGCGAATCTCGGGTAGAATCGACTCTTGCTAGACTTTGCGAAAGCTTCTAGCACGGTGACTCCATTCCTCTTCGCCGGAGGAGCCTTGATGTCTGCTCCGACACTGAGGAGACAATCTACAACTGAAGCTGCATCATGTTCAACAGCGCTCTGCAGCGCCGTACGTCCTCCTTTCTCATGAGCAGCAAAATTTACATCCGCGCCACTTTCGAGAAGAAAGCGTGTCAGAATCAAGTTTCCTTCACGCGCCGCATGTTGTAAGCAGCTCATTCTGTGGACTCCATAGTAGTTAAGGGGAGCCTTGAGATCAAGGAGACGGTTGCATAAGATCAAGCTCCCTTGATTGACTGCGCTTGCCAAGGCGGTAGCTCCAATGAGTGGCACCGCTGATAATCTTGATGCCAAAAGGGAGTATAATGGTAGTATACCATCGTAGATCGGTAACATGCCTGGACGATCCACCCTCCGTCGAAAAATGTCGATAAGAATGTGATCGGGCACGTGTGAACCAGCCAGCAATAGTAAATACGTGATTTCTCTCCCTCCGATACCAGTAGTGTTGACCAAAAGAATTGGTGACTCTTTCACTAATTCCTCATCAATACCTAGAAACTTCGAGCATTCAATCTGACATGGCGGCGGGTTTGGATTCACGCCACGTTGGAGTAGCGTTTGCACAGCGAGAGTGTCTGACGCTTTGATGGCTCGACGCAAGGCACATTCCAAAGCCATCTCCTGAAGTATGTTGTGTTCTAGAAGAACTTTGGAGAGCTCGCTTTTACCGATGCTCGCAGCTTGAACGATTAGATCAACGAGTGGCAGGCGATGACGGATCCATTGCCGAAGAAGCGGATACTTTCCATCATTAAATATGTGCTCCAACTCGAGTTGGAGGGGCCGCAAATTGACTTTGATCGATGGAGGTATCTGAGCTCCCTTCCTAACGAGAAGCTCTGCAACGTATGGGTCGGGTCTGGAGATGCAGATACTAAGAGCGTTGCAGGACAATTTGGGAGAATTCGTCTGATAGCAGCGGTTTATTTCAGCTCCTTTCTCGATGAGAAACTCCGCCATGTCAGGGTTGTCGGAATAGATGGCTTGAAATAGTGGAGGCCCAATGGGAGGAGGGAGCTGTTGAAAGAGTCTACCATCAGGTTCAAATCTGATGGGTGCAGTAAAATTGATATCGGCTCCATGAGAAAGTAATGCCCTTGCAGCTGATGCGGTCGAAATTCCGGCAATGGCGTGAAGCAGACGTGAAGACAGTTCGGGGGGGACTCCCAGCCCTTGTTTGTCGAAGAAGTCGACTAGCTGCTCCCACCACGAGTATTTGTCGGAATCAGGAGACGACAGGTGTATTTCTCCATATAGAGCTAGTCTGAGCCGACGTACAGCCGCTTCCAAAAGGGCTCCAGCATCTTTGGGGTTCATCTTCAAATACATCGCAAGTCGGTCCAGTACATCCATTTCTGTCACCCATTGCAGGAACGAGGGAATTGCATGAACACCTGCGATGTTGTTGCAGATGAGATGCAGAACAATGGAGAAAAATAAGTTCAGCAATCGCTGATCCCGGCACAGGGTAATTTGGCAATCCTTTGCATCCGCGGTATCGTGATCGTCCAAGTCATCGATGTCTCGCCGAAGAACATTCTCGGCAATGAAGTAAATCGGCTTCAATAAATTTAGAGAAGGATCGCCGCTTGCCAGGGCTATCCAGCCGGAACCCGAATCCGAATCCAGTTCCTGCCACCATAATGGCCACCGGACTTGGTCGACCTTGGAGGCAAAAGTATTGATATCCCTTTCAAGGGCTTTCATGAAGTGATTGACTTCTACGGCTGTTATCAGCGATGTCTCTACAAATTCTTTTGGGCATTTTGGCTATTGCGTACGAGAGATATTCAATGCCATTCCATTTAGCATCCTCAAGAAGCGAGCTGATATCTTGGAGCGAGACTTCAACGCCGTGCTTGAATCAGAAAGGCCGCTGTCAGGAATCAAATATTCTGGCGTTGGACACCGTCGCTGGGAAATCGCTGATGTCGTACCCTCGCTATTCCCGTCGGGACTTTCTCGACCACTTCGTGGATGAGGGATACTTTGCACGTGTAGCGTGTCCTGGGGACCTTTCTGGAACAGAGGCTCAGTGAAGCAAGGAGTGCTCATGCTGATATTACTGCAATCGAAATCGAAGGAGTACACCTCTGCAGAGCAAGGGTTGAAGTTCATTAAATTTGGGCCACAAGGGTCTGCGACACGAGTGACATCCGCTCTAGAGGGAAGTTGTACAATGCTCGACCCGGTGTCTGACAGAATATCGCCCCGGGGGGGGATCTTTGTGCGCACTTCTAGCCGGTGCAGGCCTGTGGTATCGATGCCAATGTCTAACTTGTTTTAGAGATCTGGTGCTCAACAACTACTTTAGTTAAGGGTCCTCGATCACTCACCGATTGGGACACCACCATCTTCCGCATCTCGTCCGCGAAGGCCGCTATATCGACGCATTTCTCTGGCAACCCGCTCAGGGCCAAGCTGGCGCCCGTTGAGAAAGATCAGACAATCTTTGCCTGCGTCCTTTTGCTTTTGCATCTCTCGTTTGATGGCTCTCCATTCGTTGGCGCGCACCTTTTTGAGGCCTGAGTAGCGCTTCTTGAACTGTTTGATACTTCTCCAGTGTAAGAGTCTTGGAATGTAAGTTTCGAGGGGTAGACAAAGGTTCAGACGTACGTTATCCTCAGTTTGTGCCTTTGATTGAGAGTCTTGATTGTTTCTTCCGCAGATCTGTCTTCGGTGACGTAGAGTTGAGTGATCTCATCATTCCAACTCTTCCACTTGATAGCAGACATGGCGGTGGTCAGTCGGACGGTGCCGCGATATCTACGACTATGCAAAAGAGATGTCGGTAGCTTCTCAACTAAGCGAAGAAGATGTGCCGGGTGCAAGATTCAAAGAATCACGCCAGATTACAAATGAGAATGGTGAATGCTATTAAATGGTTGTGCGATTTACATGTCAGCTTGCAATGAATGAGTGATTGAGAAATGGACCATTGATGAGAACAACACCAAGCAAATTACAGCCTGATGAGCTGACGGGGACTTCTGCTACATGACAAAAGACGAGTGACAGTGCATTGGTCGCCTGGTGTTTGCCAAGGCTTATCAAAAGGTGCTAGAGCTGCGAGAATCGAGCAGAAGACCAGTGCTAGAGCGAGCCGTGAGGGAGCTGTGTAACACCAAGAGTTGATAGGCTTGTAGGTGTCTCTGTGTCTTGCCCGCACACACCAGCCTGCATGGGCCTTTTGCTCAAGGTGCGTGTGATGCCCAACAGAAGCCCCTAGGCAGCAAAAGTTCCGGTTGCCTGAAGAAGTGTCGTGGCGAACTACTCGACCAAATAAGGCGGTCTATGACATTTTAGAGCACTCTGATACGCCCCCAGCCATCAAATTACGACACTTCACAAAGACGCTATGAAACAAGTGACTAGAGAAGGAGCATTGGGGTACATTCTGCCCCAAGGGCTGTGCCTCTTAGCTCTGCTGGGACTCTGTTGATGCGACTTCGAAAGTAATTGCATTTGCTGCCTGTATACCAAGTACTCATCAAATTCTCTAGACCAGAAAGTGTTAGAAATCATGTTCGCGAATTGGCTGCAAAATTCACTCCACTAATTTACAATCAACACGTGTTCGCATTATTGAAGCTTGACTTGCAGAAGTTCCCGCAGCTCTGATTATCTTCCACCTGAGAGAAGCTCTGGCACGATGATCCGAGCTGACAAGAGCATCTCTGTGACAAACCACCGTTAGAACATTTTGGAGACAATGAAGTACAGCGTAGAAAGCCCTCGAATTTCAAGTCATAATGAAGGGGTGACGACGTCATATTTACTTACATGCAGGGCGCACGCGTTTCCTGCAAAGAGGGAAAAGGCAACGGCGACGATGGAGAATTTCATTGTTGACTAGGGGGTAATCGGATGAAGAAACATAAATGACACGTTTTTTTGTGAACTAGTTGATGATCCGATGAACTGATAGTGTTGATCCAAGCTATGAGTTAATGGGAATTTGTTTGGCATTTATAATCCTCCATGGGAAGGGTGGCAGATGCCTCTCCTGCCCTTTCAAAAAGCGGATGCTTACGACAACTTCCAGGAATGAAGCCGCCGGACCGGCGACATTAGGAAGTTTATGGGGTTTCGAGGGCTTTTCATTGTTTTAGGAAGCATTTCTGGGACACACCATCATGCCACACCCCCGCCGCCTCTGGTTTCAAACACTCTCGCCAACGTACTTTAGAAAATGACAGCTACTTTTGCAGTACGTATGACATGGACATAAATTAGCCCGCACCAGATGTACTTATTCTTATCCATATGGCGCTTCGTGGAGGCGATGAAGAGTCATGCTCTACTTTGGTCGACCAGGGATCTTCCTACAGGCCAAATGCGCTTCAAATTCTTGCCACTTGACTTAGCATCATGGGTTCAAGAAATCCCTGCAGTGACCAGCGCGCAGTACGGGCAAAACGCTGAGGTGAGCATCTTGTGGTGCGAGATGTTGATGTTAGAGGATCTCCCTGCGACCTCTACTATCACCACCATCACCATTCATACTGTTGATTCAGATTCAACCGAAACGTTTCCCACAATGCTGACATTCTTGATGAGTACATGCAACTTTCTCATAAGTAGTCTTTGATCGTGGGGACCATCTTGCGATGCCTCAAAGAGGAAGGGACAGAGGTGCCCACTTACCCGTCTCCCATTGGTGGAGTTCGTCGAATGAGCCCACCAAAACCGGCTGCTTGAGCCGATAAGCCAATTGCCTGTGATAAGATAGCGATAAGCAAAAAAAGTTGCCGACCGTCGAGATTTTTGATGGTCAGGTCCCCCGCCGTCGCTCAGACACCGATCAATTCGTCGACTCCAATCGCGAAAATAGCAACCATGGGAAAGCGCAAGGTCACCGCGCTCGAGAAGGTCGATGTCGACTTGTAAGTGACCCGCGATGTAGCCGATACGTCCATCGCTAACAAGCACAGCGCCGGCTTGCAGTACAAGATCCGCCGCGACCCCAAGTCGTACGAAGAGAACTTCCTCCAGCAATGGGGCCAGTACGAGAGTCAGCGCGAGGTCTTCCTCGTCTCGCCGACGACAGCGACGAGAGAGTACACAGAGTCCTTCCATAACCTCGTAGATCTCCTCGCCCATACCGTCGACCTATACCCGAAGCACGCCGTCGCGTTCCCCGACGACCTGAAGGCGATCCTATTGCAGCACCACGAGGTTCTGCACCCCGAGCTGCGCGAGAAGATTGTCGGAGCTCTGGCGCTCCTCCGTAAGAAGGACGTCATCGACTCGACGTACTACCTCACGACACTGTTTCCCATTCTCGTTTCGTCACCCAGCAAGTCGCTGCGAACGCTTCTGTTCGGCAAGATCCTTACCGAGATGCGCAATGCGAACTCCAAGGCGACGAACCACCCCCTCAACCGCACGATCCAGACCGTCCTCTACAACCTCATTACGGCCGATCGCACATCGCCGAAAGCCGTTTGGGCTGTCAAGCTGACCCGCGAGCTGTGGAAGCGACAAATCTGGACCGACGCCAAGACGGTCGACGTTATGAAGGAAGCGGCTCTCTCCGACAACGAAAAGGTTGTCGTTGGTTCCGTGCGGTTCTTCCTCGGTGGCGACAAGGAGCGTGAGGAGCTGGAAGACGACAGCAGTGACGAGGAGCAGATTGATTTGCAAAAGATGAAGCATCAGATCGGCATCAACAAGAAGTCAAAGAAGCAGGCGAATGCGTACAAGAAGGCCGTTGCCAAGATTCACAAGCAGGAGCGCGGTAAGGGCAAGCCTCACCCGCTCAATTTTTCCGCCTTCCACCTCCTGCACGATCCTCAAGGCTTCGCCGAGACCGTGTTCCAGAAGCACCTGCAAAACACCAAGACAAAGTTCTCCCACGAGAACAAGCTCCTCGTTCTGCAGCTGGTTACGAGACTGGTTGGTCTTCACAAGTTGACCATCATCAGCCTATACTCCTGGTTCATCAAATTCCTCACGCCCCGCCAAGAGTCGGTCACTTCTTATTTGGCCTCTCTGGCTCAGGGAACGCATAGCTTGGTTCCTCCTGACGCGGTTGAGCCCCTCATCCAGAAAATTGCCAACGAATTCGTCTCAGAAGCCGCCGCAGCCGAAGTCGCTGCAGCTGGTCTGAATGCTATCCGTGAAATTTGCGTCAGACAACCCCTGGCCATGTCGGACACACTGTTGCAAGATCTTGTTCAGTACAGGAAGAGCAAAGACAAGGGAACAATGATGGCGGCCAAGGGTCTTCTGTCTCTATACAGAGAGGTTGGCGCTGATCTGCTGCAGAAGAAGGACCGAGGCAAGGACGCGTCCATGGGTCTCAGAAGCGGAGAGATCAAGACGAAGAGATTCGGCGAGGAGGAAGTTGGTGGCATCGAGGGCATCGAACTATTGGCAAGATACAAGGAGGAGCAGCGCAAGCTCAAGCGAGCCGCCAAGGGCTTGCCAGAAGACGGCGCAGACAAGGACGAGGACGAGGACGAGGAGGGCTACAAGTCAGAGGACTGGGAAGTGGACTCCGATGATAGCGACGACTCGGGCGGCTGGATCAACGTTGATCACTCGGATGACGAGGACGAGCCTGCGCCGAAGAAGCGCAGGACAGCAGAGGACGGCTCGGATGAGGAGGAGGAGGACGAGGAGGAGGACGCAGATGAGCTCGAGCGGATACAAAAACTCGCCACGACCACCATTCTCACACCCGCCGACCTCGCGAAGCTCCAAGAGCTGCGTATGGAGGCTAGTCTCAACAAGACACTGGGCAAGACTTCGAAGCGATCAAAGGAGGCTGAGAAGGCTCTGGCCCGTCATGCAGACGACGGCCTTACGGCGGAGCAGATTGAGGCTCCCGCCAAGCTGCGCAAGACGACCAAGGAGGAGAGAGTCGCGTTGGCACAAGAGGGCAAGCCGGGCCGCGAGGAGCACAAGTCGACACAGGCGATCCGCCGGTCCAAGAAGGAGGCCGAGGGCAAGAGTTCGACGAACAAGGAGAAGGCGCGCCAGAAGAACTTCATGATGACGCTGAACAAGGCCAAGTACAAGAACAAGAGGAGTTTGGTACAGACGAAGAAGGTGCTGCAGGGTCACATTGAGAGGAGTAAACGCGGCGGAAGACGTGCCAACGGTACATAGACTGGGCGAGGCTGTTGCAGGGTCTCTCTGTTCGACACCTTGGCTCTTAGTTTGGGGATGATGGCGTATGTAATCAAAAGCTCTGGGTTTCAGCATGCAAACAAGTCAAGTTCTCACAATCAAGTGCTCGGTCAGATTCACGACAACTCCTCGCAAAGCTAACTCTATCTATTGGGTTGTCCAACCACGGTTCCAGCCTTTGGAATGCTTTATCTTGAGGTATCTCGTGCTACCTTGCCTTAAGCTCGCGTTCCCTCTCAAACCCACCTACCACTCCTTAAATAACACTCCGACTGGCTTGAACGAAGCATTCTTTTCTCCATTGAACACAGCTGTACTGGACTCAGTAGTGAGGGCCACCAACTCTTTCTATACCTCACTTGAGGCTTGCACACACCCGGCTCAATGCTTCTTGTTCGTGCGATCGGGTCTTGGCCAATGTGCCTTCTTCCACGCAGTCCATCCTCTCCATCCGACCATATGTTTGGCAGCCAGGCAATCCGCACACACTTTTTTGCCTAGTCGCGCAAAGTTCTTCTGGCAACCGCACTTCGTCCTCATCAAGATACCCGTGGAGGACACAGTCTCCGCAGGTTTGTCGTCGATATCCATCGCCTCGCCCTGTGACTGATTCCCGCTGCCGCCCGGCATGTTATCCCGACATTCGCGGCAGTAACCCTCGGGAGTCCTGTGGACCTGGTGGCCGCAACCCGTACACTGCATGATATCGGCCGCGGGCAGGCTCTGGAGAGCCTGTAGGGGTTCGGCGCTGGTTGTTCCCTCGAAGAGGCACTTTCTGCAGTGGGACTTACCTTGCACTACGTGGTTACGCTCACATATGACGCAGATTCCCTGTGCGGTGAAGAAGGCTGTCAGCGGTGTGTTTGGGGTGTCTGGGGCAATGCAATTCTCGCAGCGCTTCGTGCCTGGGGGCACGTTCTTAACGTGGCAGACGTCGCAGAGGATTGGCAGCCTAGTAAGGTTTTGTGATGAGAGAGGGACATTTCTGAACGGGTTGGGTTGACTATTACCTTCTCGAGGACCCGAACCATCGTCTGGTCCAAAGGCAACGAGGATGCAGATGCACTCTGCGCATCGTCGTCGTCCGGGAGCACATGGCACTCCTGGCCTCTTACAGCGGACGCAGAGGAGCGGCCTATGGGGCTGGAACTGTTGATACTCTTGGGATAGCCTGTGGCTGTCATCTTGCTTTGGAGGGCTTACGGGGGCCACTGACGCTTCACCTGTGCTGTCGCGGATTGGGACGACGCCGGTGTCGAGTAGGAGAAGGGCTTCGGCGGCGATATTGCGGAGGACCTGCTCCCTGACGTTGCTCTGCCTGCAGTTCTCGCATACGGTGGAGACGGGTTGTCCGTTGGTACCGATGGGTTCCGGGCCTAGAAGGGTCTCGGAGCATTGAGGGCATGTCCGACAAGCTTGGTTATCAGCATACTGAGGATTGTTGGCGATGATGGATCTGAGAGGAGGGAGGGTAACTGGCAGACTGATTGAAGGCCGGTTCGATTGGATGGGGTTGAGTTGAAGGAAATCGGGGGCTGGCTGGATCTGAGACCCAGTTGCTCCCTGAGGAACGTATGGGCCTCGGCGGTAGATCGACAAGATGTCTGTTGCTGGGCTAAGGGGGATAGGGCAGGTTGCTGAACGTGTGTTTGGTCCGTTACGCGATGTGTTGATATTGAGACGAGGCCTCTTTGGTGAACGATCTATGTTTGATGACTCTACCCATCTCTTATCAGGGTGTCCGGGAGTACCACAAGGCATCTTGCTCTCCACTGAGAAGGCTATCAGTTGTGTGAGTGTTTAGTTGACTTACGAGATTGCTGCTGTAAATGTTTGGGTGGTTAAGTACGACTGTTGATGGCGGAGGCCTAAGAGAAGCTGAGATGATCAAGATGCTCCGAGAAGACACTTTGTTTTCTAAATTCCTGTTATCTTAAATACATCATGACTGAAATAATCATGTCTTGAATTGTCAATGTTTCGCGGCTTTAAAGGGCCACTTCATTGTTCATCGACTCAGCTCGAATGATAATTAAAACAAAGTTCTTGACCTTTATTATCTCGGCAAGAATGGAAAAATCTCTTTTATCGAGGACAAAGCATGTCTATTTACTCGAAGCAAAGAACACGGTCTTGTTCGAGCGACATGAACGACTTTACCGCAGCAAGCCCTTCTTACATTTCTTCTGAGACGCGGGTCTTCATGTCTGTTTTACTCCAATCATGACGCAGCTCATTAGTTTGTTTCTAGGACAAATACGGGGAAAGGGAACTGCTAGAGGGAGAGAAAGCGGTTTTCGGAAAACAAATTCGTGCATACTAGACTTGAGCTATGTAGAGGTTTCCAATTGTAAACGCAGCTTCAGGCCGTGAGGTAGCTCAATGAATGTGCGACCGCTAGATCCTCCACAATTGTCTCCAGTAATTGAAATTGACTCAACAGTTACTGTATGGTCTTAAAACAGCAAAGTTTCACTTTTGAGAAGGTATCCGGCATCTTTCTGGACAATATTGGTGGCCGAATTGCTGTCCTGCCCTACTGTGATGATTAATAATTTTGCTTCTGAGTCGGCCGGTCAAGCAAGGGTCACAGCCCTAGTACCCGTAGCCCAGATCGTCTAGTTGGTTAGGATGATACGTTGTGGTTCTTCTATACAGCGATCCGTGTTGACGGCGGTTCGAATCCGCCTCTGGGCACGAAACCTTTTTGTTTCCTCTTTTGCTGTTCGTGGAGCAAAGATTGTGGCTTCAGTCGACTCTTTGTCTTGCTTTGTGTGAGTGAGGTACGGAGGGAGTACTTTAGGTTTTGAAGATCCTACAACACCGGATGATGGAGCGGGACGCGGAAGCTTAGACGAAAGTGGGGTACTTGCGCCGACGTCTTCGCGGCGCTGGGGACTTTGTTACGTACATGTGCCCTGCCTCTTTGGCTTTGTTTGCTTTCGGTGAGGTAGAAAGAAATAGACATTGTGACTGACCTTAAATTTCAAATTCAAGAAGTGGACTTGAGGTCGTAAAGTCAATATTGTATTTAAACCATGATTGCGTCCGATTTGGCTCGGATCAGTTGGGGTCTAAGAATTCCTTTGTATTCTACCTTGTATCATCCATGTTCCTCCAACTGGTAATCCTGTCCTCCTGACCCCCTAAGAAGGACGAGATTAGGCAAACTTGACATAAACCAATAGAGGCGAGGCGAGGACGACAAGAGGATATCGTTGGTTTTCGAATTCATTGGCTTTTGATTAAATCCCACCATAGAGCAATTCGCGACTGCAGGTAACCCTCAGCAACTCACACGACGAGTATTCGTATTGCCGTTGGAACTCAGTCCAACTCTGCCCCCGCCAAGGCTTTTCAGCCGCCCGACATGGGACGATCAGCGAGATTGGAATAGCACAAATACAACCTGGCGGCTCCTACAATTCGTTGAAGTCGGAGAGGGCCAACAAATACCTGGCTGCAGCTCACTGCATGGATTCCTGCCGGCACAGCGGTCCAACCAAGGTGGGCACGCGGTCGGAAGCCGGGGGTTGCGGCCGCTAAGGAAGGGCAATCTTACCACAACCGGCTCTACGAGGCTCCTTCCGTGGCCCTATCGACACGTCAAAGTTCGAGAGGATGGATGGACGCTTTACCAGTAGATTGGATTGCGGGGCTGACGTGAGCCTGTCGACTTCACTTGAGGCTTAATTGGTGTTGGCATGTTGGGCTCTTCGCGACAACCAAATCAGGCTGTACGACGAATTATGGCTCCTGCGATTTCCGATCTTTGACTTGAGCATTGTTGACCGCTTATCTCGATCGAAGAAGAGTGTTTGCCTGTGGGTGAATTGTTGCGTTGTTGGTTGCAAAACAAAGTGTGGCACAGCACCGGGATAAAGAGAGCACGTCAAATTTTTCTTCGTTGGTTCCAACTCTGTTGCCGCCGTTTGTGATCCGGACGTACAGCCATATTTGGTTTGTTTGTTCGATCTCATCACACGGCTTTTTGGGTCCACCCCCGGTAACTCAACCTAAATAGAACTTCACTGCAACTTCGATGCTGGAAAACAATGCGTTGGGCGTTGCAACTCGGTTGCCATTGGGGGCCCTTCCCGGGGGCGGGCTGAAGCAAACTGCATGCCGCAGCGGCGCAGAGCAGGACACGGGCGGGCGGTAAGGATTGAATGGGTGTGGCGCGCCGCGATTCCCGTCCGAAGCAAAGCAGAGTAACGGCACGTCCTTGCCTTGCCCAGGCAGATGCCAATTCTCCGACAAGAGAGTGCGTGGTTTATATGCAGAAGACTGTGCCCCGTTGTCTTTCGATCTTCTCTCTTCTCTTCAGACACTGCAGCAACTTTTTTTTTACCGTCTCACAGTCTACTTCTGCGGCTTGGCTTTGGCCCTCTCACACGAAGCTCAGAAGACCATACCCACCTACATCACACAAGGTTGCCTGGAAGCTATGGAGACAGACACAAAGCCCGCAGCCGGGAGTGATGTTGAGCGAGGGAGCTCATACACAGGCAGCGTTCTTCCAGAGACCAAGGAAGTCATCGATGGAGCGTCGCCAAACAAACATCCCAGAGATGGCATGGCGGCCTGGCGTTGGCCATGCATACAGTCTGCTTTCTTCCTTGGAGGCATGCTGCTTGGTGAGGCCACCCGTTTCTTTCAATCTTACACAACCTGTAGACACTAGCTAACTTCTACTGTCAACATTTAGGATACGATGTTAGTAACATTGCGAACATCCAACCACCGATCTACGAGGCCTTTGGCCAGGTCCATCTCCTCCCATGGGTTGCGACGGGTTACACGGCAACCCAAGTCTGCATGGTTCCCCTCGTCCGCAAGCTGGCGCTTTTGGGCCATGTAAAGCTGCAGATAGTCGCCTACACCTTGATATTTCTCATTGGTGCAGCCGTGTCTGGTTCCGCCACCAGCATGAACTCCGTCATCATCGGTCGCGCGGTTTCAGGAGTTGGAGGTGCTGGAATCTATCAGCTGTAAGTAACGTGCAGGTTATCTTGTTTACTACATCCTCATTGGCTGACAATGTGATGTAGCTGCATCTTGGTCAACGTCCTTCTCACGACTCCATCAGAGCTTCCTCGTGTCCAAGGTGTCATGGCTGTCTCGTGGGCCATTGGACTGACATTAGGCCCCGTTATCGGAGGAGCCTTCGCTGAGAACCAAAGTGCTACTTGGAGATGGGCTATGTACCTCAATCTTCCCATCTTGGCTGTCATCGCTGTCCTCAACTTCGTAGCTCTGCCTCCCATCGAGGTTGGCGTCAATATGCCCCTTGTCGGCGGTCTCCTTGCCATCGATTGGCTCGGTATCGCCCTTCATATGACCGGGTTCATCCTTTTGTGCTCCGCTCTCATCTTCAGTGGTTCCACTTGGGAGTGGCCGTCTCACTCAGCGATCGTGGCCTGGGTTTTCGTGGGTGTAATCTACGCCATCTATATTGCGCAGCAATACTTTTGTCTTTTCACTAGCAAGGAAAACCGAGCGATCCCAGCAGACCTCCTCAAGAGCCGAACCGTCGCTCTCGTCGGCCTTGGAACAATGGCTGCCGGCAGCTGTTACGGAATCGCCTTGTACTACACACCATTATTCTTTGCCTTCACAAAGGGAGTCGAGCCAGTCGATGCCGCGGTCCGCATACTTCCCTTCATCTTAACCTTCATCATCTTCACAATCGTCATGGCCGGTATGATACCAGTCATAGGCCGATACGCCCCCTTCTACGTGGCAGGTGGTGCACTGGCAATGATCGGCGCCGGTCTTCAAACTCAAATCACACCTCAGACCTCTGAGGCCCGAGTGATGGGAGTCAGCACCCTCATCGGTGCGGGGACCGGATGCATGTGGCAGACCGGAGTCGCCATCATGACACAGGCCGTACCCGCAAACCGTCGTCTCGACGTCACCGCTCTCTTCATCATGGTTCAGCTTGGCGGTATCTCAGTCACACTTGCCCTAGCTGGTTGCGTCTTTTCGAACCTCGGCTTCAACCGTCTTCATGCGTCGCTGTCAGGGCTCGGATACAACGATCACGATATTCGGGAAGCATTGGCTGGTCTCGACTCCAAGATTTGGACGGCTGCGGATCGTCGGGTGGTTGCGATTGCCGTTCAGGATGTGGCGAGTGTGATTGCTGATATGCAATTTGTAATTGTGGCGGCGGGAGCTGTGGCTTTTCTGAGTGGCTGTTTTATGAAGTGGGAGAAGCTGGACTTTGGGAGGGCGAAGGCGTCTAAGTAAGGTTGTGAGAGGAGGCGCTTGCCCTTGAGGCTTGACAAGACAAATCTGTTGGAGAGCAGCTGTCCAGTTCACGGCGCTACCAAGATGGCGTGCCTGTCCTGGTCTCACTTGTCCTTGATTGTCTTCAGCTTTGAAGTCCGACAGTGGTATAACGATGGTTCAAATGAAACAGACGGGCTGCGGAAGAATTGAATACCTAGTCTACAATCTAGTCTGTGTCAGACACGTCCCAAACAGAATCAGGATTAAACAATTCATCCACCATTGCGCTGCCAAGAGGTATGGCAAGTCTAGATGAGAAACAAAAAAACTTGATTCTACTTAGGGAATCGAACAGAAGATTAAGCGTTGGTTTCACGCATCTCGAGTAAGAATGGATTCCACTGGCGCCTCCTGAACCCCTCGACCACGCTCCCCAAATCACTTGGTGAAAGGGGAAGGAGAAGATAATCAAGTACCCACCCTCACCCATTTACCTGACGTATACTCCCACGTGATCATTTGTATTCGTCAGGTGCTACTGCTACGCTGACACCGCCCTTAGCCCTTAGAGCATCCGCCGGTTTCTACTCTGTAGAAGATCTTTCCCAAAGCGTTCAATATCTAGATTCAACTCCCCCTAAAAGGGCGAACCTCGAAGAATAGGCCACAACTTACTTGAGAACCAGTGCATCTATCTCACTTTACTTTACGTATATGAATTTAAATCCTCATTGTCCTGAAAGTACGGGGAAGGAC